CATTTTACATCGTCGAGCCGTCGCGCCCCCTAACGTATACGTTGTGAGATACAGAAATAAGACGAATAGCTTAAATAAGCGAACAAGCGCGGCGTCGCGTGGTAGTAGACGACGTCTAATCTGCAACTTCTAATATTTCATCCCTAACGTTTCGTCTCTCACGACGAGCACGAATCGCAAAATGCGACTTTCTAGATTATTTAGCTCTAGATTATCAAAAATACGAGCCAGTTGTGAAGCGGCTATAAGAAGCGTGCTATATGAAGCGTGGATATAAGAATATCGCGCGTTTCCCCCGAGTGTCTCCTCCTCCTCGTGCGTGCAAATAACTAGCTTCCATTTCCAAATTGCCAGTCAGCACTTTCGATCGTTACTTCGTTCCGTCTCGATTAAATATAAATGCGGTGCGCGCGCCGCGTACATACACACACAGATCTACACACACGCTCGATGTCGTGTATAGCTACGCGCGCGTGTGCCACGTGTGCGTGCAAGGTGAATACATTAGACGTGGGCGATGATGGGCGGTGTGAAAGGAGAGAAGATGAAGAGGACAGGCGGAAGGGCGAGAGCGTCGCGTGACGTTAGACATGGGGTACGTCACGCGCTGGAAATTGGGCCCCGAAGAAGCGATCTATCATATCCACACACCCGCTACGAGTCGGAGGGTGGCGAACGAAAGAACGAACGAATGAACGAACGAACGGACGCGGATGGACGAGAAGGAAGAAAGGGAGAGACAGTGGCAATCGAGTTATGTCGATCGCGATATATCGTCCAACTTTGTTTCCCGCATTCGGCGAGGCCGCTCGTGAACGTGATGAATATCAGTGATATTTCCCGGTGCGGCGTTACCAGCGTTTTCCTTTCAATAATCGCAATGCGAGATCGCGGCTATTTATTTTGCGATCGATATGACCGCGTTATATATTCATTAACCCTAAAATGGCAGCACGAGTAACGTTTGCTCATACCGAAAGCCTCAACCCTAGGGAGGTAGTATAATGAACACACTAATACGATTAAGCAAGGCCGAGTTTTTACGCGTTTAATATTTCGCAAATAAGGAGTGATATCCATTCCAGTAAATGATGAAATAAATACCCAAGGACGAGCTGAAGACGTAAAAGTATGAGTAAAAGTTGGTATGACTATTTGTTGAAATTGCAATCTTTTGGGTTATCTGTTAAATGACTTCAAGGATAATATCGAGACTTTATATTCTTAGTCTGCTCGACATAAACTACAAATTAGTGTATCATTAATTGGAATATTCCAAGTTTTTTTAATAAGTGACGGAAATGTCTATAGGTGCTTAATTTACTCTTTAGATCTTTTGGTTTGTCTCCCAAACGACTACGAGAATAATATCGAGACTTTATATTTTTAATCTACTCATACTATCTAAACTTCAAATCGATGTTTCATTTATTGGAACATTCATCAATTTTACAAAATTCCATGAGAAGAGGGCGAATTTAAACCGTTCTCTTTGCTCACGAGAAGGAAACAAAAAAAGAGCGCGAAGTTTCCTCGAATCAAAGGGTCGCCAACCGCTGTCTTGAGTCGTCTACAAACACGGCGCGTCGCGCGTATATTTGTCGCGCGTGCAATTAGCGTTCATTCCGCGCAGCTTATTATACCAGCCGCGGTTCTCGGGGTTAACCTCGCTATTAATTCGGCGAAAAGCGGACTGGAAAGTTCGACGATCGGTCATTCCGCGCTGGCGCGTTCTCCGACTGGTGCGCCGATTATTAATCGGTAGACATTTCACGCGTCCAATTATAGTCTCCGCCGATGTGGCCCAACGCGGAGGGCACTAATTACGTCGGTCCGGCCGGCCCGGAAGTGGAACGAAGGGCTCGGCTTTGTCAGCTGCGAAATTTACCGTTCCTCCCATGGGTAAATCTGGAACCGACGTTATCGAAGGCACGGTTACCGGATTAGCTTCTCGGCGAAATTATGCGTCCCCGTTGTTCTACCGCGCGCCCGCTTCTCGCTAATCCGCGAACGTTCGCGCACGTTGCGCCCGGTCCGGCTCAAAACTGGACTTTTCCCTCGGGCTGTGAAATATGTCTCGCGCGACGGTCTCGTGTTTTTGCTTCGGCGAACGAGCGCGGAAAAAAAGGAGAAGAAAGAACAAAAAGGAATAGAATAGAACCGGAGTTTATCGCGAGTTTTCTAGAACGGAATAAATCTGTCGGAGCGCGTTGTGTAAAAAGAAAGGAAAGAGGAAAAAAGGATAGAGAGGGAGAGATACAGAAAAACAGAGAACAAGTAAGAACCGAGGGATACTGTTGACAAAACGGAAATAGAATTAACGGAGACAAGAAAAGAAAGGGATCGTTTAAAAAACATCGTAGGAAGCGCGATGAAAGGAACGTGACGCGACGGGAGAGAAACTTAACGTCGCGCGACGCTCTCCAGCGGGTAAAATCGGTCTTTATGACGCGATTTACCATTTCAAAGGGGACTTTCGCGGAGAATAACATCCTCGCGCGCTGCCGACAAATTACGAACGTGTCGATTCCGCAAAAACCGAGCGCGACTGAACAACGGTGCGGCGACACGAATTGCGGGAAAAGAGTTTCCCTGCATCCGCGTGCCGGCTTCGCGAGCGCACCGGGGAGAAAAAGACAGGACAGCCAATTCGATTGAATATCGGCTAGAGGTTATTGCGGTTCGTCGCATACGTCCAGGCGAGCGAGCTGAGCGACGCATTTCAAGAGAAACGAGAAATAATTCCCGCGCGTTAACTTACCTCCGCGCGATTAACTCGCCGGGATCCATTAGCAGAATGTTGATTTTCAATTAAATTCCGCGATTTCGCGAAAAGCGCCGTTTCCGCGGTGTTCTCGCGCCGGCGTTGGCGGCGGCTCTCCGCAACGAAACGGCACGAAAAATGACGCGAGCTTCGGGAGTCCATTCACTTGAACTAAAATGCTTGAAATTATACAAAAATCTCATTTATCGCAGCAAAACGCATTCGCTGTTGAAGTCTCTGTGCGATTTGTCTGCACGTTCACGAGAAATTTAATACTGAATATCGCAATTTTGCGCGTATGACTTTATAGTAGAAGTAATTTTGATGACCATCATTTCAGTGTAACTTGCCGTTATAAATATTACATATTATGAAACACGTCATAGAGAAAAAAGAATAGTATTTACTGTACTGTTTTTGTGTAATAGTCGTGTAGATCAGAAAACTGCTCGCTGTTTTATACTTTGAACAGCGCTGAGTGAAACGTGACAAAGTAATATGAAATTAATTTCATATTAACATTAGTATGAAATTAGTTTCAAATTAATACTTATTATTTAAATAGTATTATTTAAATAGTGAAATAAATATGTAAGAACGCGTAACTTTGTTCGCTTTACATATCGAACGGGAATAAACTCCTTAACTCTTTCGCTACCAACGGGACAACCTTTTCCCCACCATGAATAACCTTATTCGATTGAATAAGCAGCTTTCTTGATATTCAGAACACATCAGTTATCACTTTTCTTATTTCTGTTAGGACTAATATATTCTCCCGAAAATCACAGTGGAACATCAGTGTCTCGTCCCTATTTTCTCGATGCCAAACAAAACTTTTAATTTCTTTGTTAAAACTATTATATATTAATATATTTAATGAAGAGAAAGTAAAAAAAATTGTTCTTTTAAAAAAAATTGATAGCGAAATAGTTAAACGTTAGTCGTGCACCCTTATGCCCTGCAACTCTGACAGATGAGGCGAAACCTACCCCCACCGATCAAAAGTTACGCGCATTTTACATCAAGTTTGATATTGAGTGCAAGGGATTTGGATAGATAACGCAAAAATTGCAGCGGCCTACAATGCTGATAACTTGTACATTATCAGTTGAGTCGAAATTTATTTCATTGCAAAACCATAACTTTTATGTTGTATCGCTCGGAGCTTCCGCACTGTGGCTGGCGCGTACCGGTTTTAAACTATCTCTAACATCGATTAAACTTGCCTTAAACGAATACGAATAGAACAACGCCGCTGCCGCCGTCGAGCTTCATTGGCTTTACCTAACGTCATCGCCCGCGCGCACAATGCACCTCGCGATTCACCGAGGGGAACACCCGTTTTGTGCGGGAACCGCGAAACGAAGTGCTCGCTAATAAGGGTCGAACGCTAAACAAACCGTATTACGTTACAGTTACGAATTACCGCGTCATACTTAATTTACATGACTAGCGCAAACCGCTCTCCCTGCCTCTCCCTGTCCTCCCTCACTCTTCCTGCCTCTCGCCCGATCTCGTCGACAAAGCCGTCAAGGTGCAGTCCTCGGGATGCAGCTGCATCAAGCGAGCTTTCCCCGCTTGGAACTTTACCAGTTAGCAGTTGCCAATAATTATTCGCCGGCGCGCTTTCCTTTCGCGGTGCGGAAGTATAGCCGCGCGGGAAGCACAAAAAGCTCTCGTCGAAAGTTTTCGACGCCCTGACCGTGCACGCTTTTCATCGATGCCACGGCGAGTCCCGCAAACTAGCTCGCGTCCTCCTCCTCCTCTCTCTCTTTCTCTGTTCTCGCTTGCACCTCAGCACCGCATCTTGGAAAACTAGCCATATGCCTGTTCCACTTGTTTCCTTATTTTCCAAGAATTATTCTCGGATGGCTCTCCCGCCGCCCACTTCCCGAAAGAACACCGCGCGCAGTGACTATAATTAAATAATGAAGCAACTCCGATATACCATTCAATATTTCCTGAATGAAAGAAAGCGCGATTGTAAAAGAATTTTCTTGTCTCGAAATTTTAGTTCCACGTAAAGCCCTGCAAATTCTGTCAAACCTGAAGTTATTATTTAATTTTGTCTTATTATCGTCTTATCTTGATCCGCGATATTGGTTATAGCACGATATCCGATTTTCATTAAAAAATATACAATTTAGAAATTAGAAAACGATATATAAAATATATGTATAATATGAAAAGGGGAAATATATTAATATATATTGTGTAACATTTGGTGTTACAGATAAACACACGCCGCGTGATGTCAAAACAATGGAGCGAGAAACGTAAACTTAACCGTCCGTCGTCAACCGTTGTACTTCGTCAATAATTAAATGGTAAAAACAATGAAAACATCCCGAACCTTCGTGGAGCTCGGACGCATCCTCGTGCGTCGCGCGTTGTTTTCATTACGCCTCGAGTCGGCGAGCGGTGCGCGTACACACGGAGCACGTGTGTCGGTTACTCGTCACAGACATTACCTACGATTAATTAAAATATTTCGTCTCTTGACTCTTCGACTATAATCGGACTCTGGTCATTAACATTCTTTGTTCCGATAGAATCGTATCTGCGCGAGTGTCAGTGTCAACGTCAGTGCCATGATGGAACAGCCAAGATGCTGGGTTGGAGAAGCCAAGATGGAGGACGTTGGTTAGAGAACGCCGTAAAGCGGGCACATCAGATTTTAAGGTATGTTAAATTACTTATTATACAGTAGGTTTCCGTTTTTAACGGACATTTAACGAATCGAAAATAAAGAAATACCCGAGTCAAAGTTTAGGTCGGCATTCATAGTCCGTCATAGTTCGACAAGTCAAGGTCCGTGGATTGGTAACAGTGCTAAGGGAAGGTCTTCCTATTAGCGGCCTTAGCAGTCATCTTTGAGCCATGCATTTATGTATCTGTATATATATTCAAGTATCTCCCAACACACACATATAATGCGTTTTATATGTGTGTCGGGAGATACTTGAATATATACACACACACACAAATGCATGGCTCAAAAATGGCCGCTAATAGGAAGACCTTCTTTTCGCTGGACTGTTACCAATCCACGGGTCTTGCGACAAGTAAACAACTATAACTTCATGAATTTTCGATTATTCGTCAATCCGTAGATCTATACTCATTATTATTATTTCGTAGAAAAACATATTGATCCAAACAACCGAATAACAAAGCGTGAATAGGACTATTTTGTAGTTAATTGTGTTCTTCAATATTTTACATAATTTATAACTATGAATACCGGCCTTATAGAATATAAATCTTATTACTATTTATATTTACGTCCAATAATGTTCTTTGAGCGCGAATACGATCTGCCAACGTTTTTCGCTTCTGCATAGTCTTGTTGTTGTGCCTATTGTGTATTGAGTCCAAACTGAAATTTCTATTCGTGAACGCACAGCATTATTGGACATATAACTGTTATCGTTTTTTTTTTGCAATTTCAGATCAGCTCTTTTAAGAGTTCCAATTCTCATCAGCTCTTCTAACACCAAAAAAAGAAAGAAAAAACATTAGGAAGAGATAAGAATAAAATGTGTTATTTCTTCTATATCCATTTCCCCACCAATATTTAATCCAATATTAACCAATTACTTGATATTTGTACATCTCACATCTTCTATTTGTCGCTAAATATATTATAAAACATAAATATATTATATAACATTATAAATAATTCGCGACGAAATAATAAGACACTTTCGGCATGCACTGTTTCCGCGTTACACTTTGCCACCTGCCAATCGTGAGAATATATATTTGTCAATTAATATATTGACGTGAGATTACGCCATGTTTCACTTATTGCTAATTATTATATATAATTTCTGTAAGGACTTTCCGACGTTTTCTCTGAGGAGCAAAGGAACGGTCTTGATCGCGTTTTTAAACTTCGTCATTTTCGAAAATATCGTAGTGAACATTGAATAATATCTCGATAGGTTCTATCAGAAATATCTCGATAGATTCTATCAGAAATGTTAATTCTTTAATGAGCATACTTTCTCGCGCTTCTTCAACATAGAGAAAAGGACAGTGAACAACCATCTGCGGTATCAAGGTAGGACAACTTATATCTCAAGATTCTTCATTGATCCTTCAAATTTGAGGGTAAATTTGCAGGATCAATGTAGAAGCAAAACTTGGACTCGAGTACTATCGGAGGTGTAATAGCGACTACTTATCTAGATCATTAAGGTTATCACCCACGAAAGTTATCGGTCGAATGGACCCCCTTCCGACATAGAGTATCTCTCGTTACGATCTCTTTTCAAGCCGCTCCCGTTCTAGACGTCCTACACGTGAAATTCACCTGTCGTGAAAGCCCGCGCGATCCCCCGCGCGATAGCAGCCGCGAATGACGCGAGCCGGCGGTACTTTGCGCTTTTTACGATTAACGTTTTATCACGGCCGCTTTAATTTAAGGACTGCCGTCGCGCAGCTGCGCGCATTCCGTGCTCGTTTCGCGAGAAAAATATGAACGGCACTGTTGCGACAGTTTAACGATCTGTATCGTAGATAATATATGAGGTCTACCGACAGTAATAAGTGTTAAGCAAAATCCATTATCCCGAAAGGAAGCTACACAGCGCTCGCATAATTAGATCATAATTTACCGCTGGTTAAATTCCAGAGGTCGGTCGGTCAGTCGGGCAGCGAGCGGGGAAAAAAGTTGAATTCTATGAAAATTCCAGCCGTGGAATTTTCTTCCGCTGCGAAATATTCTGCACAATATAAACAATAATGCAATAATTTTCTTCGTGCAATTCCGCGTTCGAAAGCGGGTCGCAAAAATAACTAATACGTCAAGCGCCGCAAGTGATTTCAACGTGAAAAGTTCAAAGGGCAAAAATAATGCCGGTATTAAACGATTTTGTGCCGCTTCGAGTTCGAGTGGAATTAACATTTCGACGAATGTCGCGGCTCGACGAGCAACTCTATTTTCATCGAATCGACTTTGCTCCGCCGAGCTCGCCGTGAACTCGCCGTGCAAATTAACGGGGCCATTTTGATGAGAGCCCATCGGCCGTCGCCGCCACGACGGACTTTTCCGAAAATCGCGAAACGCCGAAAACCGTGAATCCCGCGTGAGTTGGCACGCAAGCCGCATAAACTACGCTAAATTCCCCCATACTTACGCTTGGTTAAATATGCAGCGGAATATCAGAGAGCCGCGGGGATGACCGTATCCTTCGTAATATAGTGCGATACTTGCAAGGTATCCCGCATAACTCGAAGCGGGCATGCGGGGCGCAACGGGGGCTGTGCGGGGGCGAAATAATATTCCTCGGCCATAATTTCGGGCAGCTCGCGCTCATACGCGAGCCCGAGGCGTATTTTACCGGGCTCGGGGCACGGTGTCCGTAATGCTCGTGCACGGTACGTAACTTGGGCTCGTTCTGACCGAGATACAACGACATTGTCGTCATCGTCGTCGTCGTCGTCGTCGTCGTCGTCGTCGATGCGGACGGTGCGTACAGCGTACGCGTTTGCGACAGCGAGCGCCGCAATTACGCTAAATAATCGTGATCCTGGTGACGGATGTGGCGTTACAAGCTTCACTCCAACGTATATTAGGATTACATCCCAAAACGTCCATTTTGAGGAAAATCTTAGTGAAAATTTATAGTTACGTATTCTATGAATTTTCAAAACAGGCGCTTTGAAACGCAACATGGGTCGGTGCAAAAAGTTTGTCATTTTTTCTTTTAAATTCTCACAAGAAGATTATTTTAAAAAATACAGTGATATATTAAATGTTTGAAAATAATACCAGGTCGATGTTGTTCATTTTAATCGTCAATTCTTTCCAGATTATTCATTTTTTATTTCATTCGACAAATACTACAAACCTTTTTCGCACCAACCTAATAGTCAATGAACTTGCACATTATAATTTCCTCGTCGCGCGTATATCGTTCTCACGCGATAATAAAAGATCCTCTCGCGTACGTAAAGTTGGATAAAAAGATTGAGAAATCTCTCTCATTAATCGCCGTAAGATAATGACACGTATAACGACTGTGCGGGACAAAAGTGTCTTGGAATCGCGACGAAGAATGCGGGAATAGCAGCGAGACAAATTTGATCAAAGTTGGGGCGTGTCGAGTCCCGCGGAAGCTTCAAAAGTTCGTCAGTGGACGCACTGTCGCATGACGGAGGAAGGAGTCACGGATCTTTACGTCGCTCGACACGGATAATTTCATGGGCTACGTGTCTAGGAACGTACGGAAATAATTCCTGCATATTTAACGAGGTATAAGGTAACACGGGGCCGCGTCACCGCGGCGCGCCAATTTCCTCGCGGAAAATTCCACCCGCTTTCGCAGCTCTCCTCGCGTCGTGAAGCCAAATAAGGACCGTTTCGCAGCGTCACGAAGCGACGGGAAAGGACTACGTGCCTCCGTTGGTACGGAAATAATTGTTGCATATTTAATGAGACGAGGGGCGACGCCATCGTCCCCTCCTTTCTTCTCTTCTCCTCCCTTGTTCTGCCTCCCTCTCCTCAGCCGCATCTTGATTTCCCCGGGAAAATTCCGCAGCGTTTGGGTGCGCCGTCGTTACGACCACGGCCGCGACGAGATAAACATTGCATTTTGATTATGATCCCGTGCGAAACGCGCGGAAGATGCGCCGGGATGTGCTCGAGAAAAAGAGAGAGGATCGCGTCGTTGAACGAGCAGATTCTCCGGTCGATTCCGAGAGGACACGAGGAGCGACCAATTTCGATCAATTCTGCGGATATGTAAAATTTCGCGTTTTGAAAAAAAAAAATAAACGAGAGACGAGTCAAAAAAATAAACAAACGAGAGACGAGGGCGAACGAGTGATTTTCTCTCCCGAAACTAGCGACGATTTAATTATAATTAATGCGCCGTTTAATTTCTTCTAACGAGGGCCCTCTTGCCCCTCCTCTGACAGGACGCCGTGATGGAAAAGTGCAGTAAACTTGGCTCTCTTAACGTCTCGTATAATAAATGAAAGATGGAGGAGAAAGAGAGAGAGAGAGAGAGAGTGGCGGCGAAAGAATCAGTCGGCGCGCAACTTTTCGCTATAATTAACAAGTTTCGCGAGGGCTTTATCTTCCGAGTTTCTAACTCGCTGATCAAAAGTGGAGATATAATTAGCGCGATGTCGAATACGGGATTGGCCCACATAATCGCGCGCCTTAATGAGTACGCGGGACGACGAAACCATTCTCCCGGAACGCCGAGTCCGCGTTCTGCTACCCTTTGGAACGTCTTAAAAACCTCTCCCGCTCTCACCTCTTCTTCCTCTTCCTCCCGTTCGCCCGGCGCCCATTTATTAGCGCCCTTTTCTCTCGCGTAGCGTGCGCACGCGATGCGCACGGGTTCGCAGGTAATTAATTTAGTCTCGCAATTTCTACCGTCGAAGGCAGTCCGGCGTTCTGCAATTTACGACCGGGAGCTCTTTCTTCCCGCGCTGCTACACTTCGTCTCACGGCGTTGCGAACTACAAAGTCGTGCGCGGCGCTCGCTCTCTTGGCTCGTTCGCTCGCTCACTCGCTTGCGATCGTGACCCTATGAAATAAATTCGGACTTTCCCGTGCACGTAGCTTTCCCGTGGGCGCCAAAGCTCGCGCACGGCGATCGATCGATCGGCCGAGTTGGTGCGCGCTTCGACGCGAAGCGCAATACGCGGCCGCGAGTTTAATATTAAAGAGCGAGCGAGCGAGCGGACCAACACGACGTGCAATCAATTCCTGCTTCGATCGTAAATCGCGCAACGTTTGGTTATTAACGCGTCTCACGAACGAGTACCACTGTAATCGACACAGACAAATTGCAAATTCATTAATGATCGCGGAAAGCGTCATTTCAAGGACCAGCCAGTCGTAATCCTCTAAAAATCGCGGGAACCTGGAGAATCACGAGGGGATTCAGATTTCTCGAATTTTCCGAAGATGTATCAGATGAGTGGCGGTAACAAGAACGAAGGTGAGGTAACACGAGCGAAACGGGACTCCATCTCGCATCAGTAAAACCGGACGCAAGTATCGCCGATACTTGCGCCGCCAAGCTGGGAGTCGAGCGGAAATCGCGCGAAATATCGGACGCGCCGCACGGCGTCCGGGATTCCTTGTAGATCCTCAAGTTGGGCGCGTTCGAAGGCACGCGAATTGAATTTGCGCGGAGTAAGCTCTTCGCCGAGAAGAGGAAAGGGAATGAAAGGAGAGCGGACGGACGAACGGATGGATGGATGGATAGACGGGCGGGCGGGCGGGCGAACGGACGGACAAACGGAGAGTAGTCTGAAGCCCAAAGTTGCCTGGTGGTAGTCGAGTGGCAAATATTAGTACGAAAACTAACGCGGCCGAGCTTGCAGAAGCGGCGCGACGAAAGCTGCTTAAACGCCCTTCTCTTGCGCCCCTCTCCTCTTCGTTTCACTCTCCGACCCTCCGGCTACCCCAGCAGATAGATAGAGAGAAAGAGAGAGAGAGAGAGAGAGAGGGAGAGAGAAAGAGAGAGAGGAAACATCCCCTTCGTTACACTAGCCTGCACGTAGGTAACGAACGAGCTCCGGAAACAGTCTCGCAAGCGGCTCCGACACACAATTCCGCCTCGGCGAGAGAGAAATAACTGTACCCTCTCAAGTCAGCAGTTGAAGTTGCGAAGGGAGTTCGAGACGGTGCGGCGGCCGATTGTTGGCGCTTTAATAGCTGAAGGATGTCAATATAGTGTTCGCGAAACGCCGCGGATACGCAGCGAAATTTTCAACTTCGACTCGACTCGAGCTTCCGCTGCTTACGGTCTCGTGTCGCTTCG